AATGGACTTATAGATGTGTATAGAGTGTTCCACCCCACAACATCAGGACGTTCTCCAAAATAGACCATATACTGGCTCATAGAATATGCTTAAGTGAATGTAAAGGAATTGTAATTATCTCATGCATACTACCAGACCACAATGCAATGAAATTGCAAATCCATGCCAAAAGAAATCACAAGAACTTCATCAATACATGGAAATTAAATAGCACACTACTGAACAACCAATGGGTCGCAGATGAAATTTAAAAAGAAATTAGTTTTTACAGATGAATGATAATGACAATACAACATACCACTACCTGTGGGACACAATGAAAGCAGTCTTAAGAGGGAAATTTACAGAAGTAAATACACATATCAGGAAAACAGAGCAAGCATAAAGAAACAACTTAATATTTTTTTATCTTTTTTAAAAATTTTATTTAAAGAGAAAAAAACAGAAAAAAGGTACAAGTAATATAGAATTTCAAAAATAAACAGTAAGAAATCACTAGTTAATAGATTACTTATTGTAATCTTACAAATAATTGTTCAAGTTACAAAATTAAAGTATACAAAGTGGACATTCAAACAGTGAGACTGCAAACAGTTCTGTTCAATGATCCAACAAAAACTTAGTAATATGGTTATCTATCTTACACACTTAAATATACATGTAGTTATAATACTTTAGAGCACTTTCTTTTCCTCTCTTTTTTACAATATCAATTACACATTTTAGGTTTTATTACTCCCATTGTTCTTATTACTATTTTTTTAAATTTTAAAGAGATTAAGACGAAAGAGGACATAACAAAGCAGATCAGAACAATGCAAATAACACAGCATTTTACCACAATTATGTTACCCATAATTAACAGTAACTATCATAGTGTCTCTTTCTTTGAAATAGTTGAGCATAGCTTCATATACGATAGTATCAAGCATAACCAAACAGTATAAAACCATTCAAGAGAATGAAAGCATTAAAGGGCTTTCAGAACCAAATAGCAGAGAATGAACAATGGCTACTATATTATCTCATTTTCCATAGAAAATTTGTTTATATTACCACACATAATAACATCCAATAAGATATAACAGGATAAAACCAAAGGCAACAAAAAAACAAAAGCATAGTAGGACTTCAGAGTAAGATGATACTAAATCAGCTCTGGCTATTCTAATGTCTTCTTTTCTTTAAAGTAGCTGAAACAACTTAATATTGAATTTCAAACTTCTAGAAAAGAAAATCAAGCTAAGCCAAAAGCTCATACAAGGGAGTAAATTAGAAGGATCAGGGTAGAATTTAACACACTGGAGTTTAAATAACAGTACAAAGAATCAATGAATAGAAAAGTTGATTCTTTGAAAGATAAAATAAAATTGACAAACCCTTGGCAAACCTTATCCAAAAAAAAAGGAAAGAAAAAACTCAGATCCAAGAAATTAGGAATGAAAAGGGTTAAATCACCACAGACTCTGTAGAAATCCAGAAAATCATCTATACCAACTTTGAAAACTTGTATCCTATTAAGATGGAAAATACATAAGAAATGGACAGACTTAGATGCATATAAATTACTAAAGCTAAATCAAGAAGATATAAACTCCTAAATAACTCAATATCAATAAATGAAATTAAAGATGTAATTAAAAACCTATCAATAAAGAAAAGCCCAGGCCCTGATGGATTCACTGCTGATTTCTACAAGAAATTTAGTGAAAATTTAACACCATTACTTGTCAAACTCTTTAATGAAATTAAAAGGGAAGTAATATCCCAAATTCATTCCTGGAAGCAAGCATTACTGTGATTCCAAAGCCAGGACCCAGCTAAGAAAGAGAATTACAGGCCAATCTCCCAAATGAACATTGAAGCAACAATCCTCAATAAGATACTGGCTAACAGACTGCAGCAAATCATCGAAAAGATTGTACACCATGATAAAATGGGATTCATCCCAAGAATGCAGGGATGATTCAATATATGTAAATCCACAAATGTAATACATCATGTTAACAGAGCCAAAGACAAAAATTTTATGATCATCTCCACAGATGCAAAAGAACTTTTGACAAAGTTCAGGACCCATTCAGGAAAAAAAATCTACAGAAAATTGAAATATATGGTCTTTATCTCAATCTGATAAAAGCAATCTATGACAAACCAACAGCCAACATCAGACTAAGTGGACAAAAACTGAAAGCTTTCTCTAAAATCAAGAACAAGACAAGGATGTCCAATGTCTCCACTCTTATTCAATATAGTGCTGGAAACTTCTGCCAGAGCAATTAAATAAAAGAAAAAATAAAAGGAATAAAGATAGGAAATAAAGAAGTTAGACTATCATTATTTGCAGATGACATGATACTCTACATAGAAGACCCAAAAACTCCACCAAAAGGCTTCTAGATTTAATAAGCAAATTAGTAATAAAGCTGGTTACAAAGTCAAAACTCAAAAATCAACAGCCTTCTTGTACATGAATAATAAACTCCCTGAGAGAGAAATCAGGGAAACAATATGCTTTATGATAGCATTAAAAAAATGAAATATCTAAGAATCAATCTAACGAAGATTGTAAAAAATCTCTATACTGAAAACTACAGTAATCAGAAAAAGGAGATTGAAGAGAATGTTAGAAAATGGAGAGATATTCCATGCTCTTGGATAGGAAGAACAAAAATAGTGAAAATGACCATACTTCCAAAACTGTTATACAGATTCAATGCATTCCCAATCAAAATTCCAATAGCATATCTTACAGAATTTGAGAAAACAATCCTAAAATTCACCTGGAATCATAAGAGACTTAGAATAGCAAAGGCCATCCTGGGCAACAAAGACAAGAAAGGATGCATCACAATCCCTGACTTGAAATTATACTGTAAAGCTACTGTGATAAAAACAGTGTGGTACTGGCAAAAGAAAAAAACAGACTTGAAGATCAATGAAATAAATTAAAAGATGCATAGACAACTGCAGATATACTAAGCTACTTTATCGTTGACAAAGGTGCCAAACATGCACTGGAAGAAAGACAACCTCTTTAATAAATGGTGTTAGAAAAACTGGCTTTCCACATGCTGAGGATTAAAACTGGACCCACGTCTTTCACCATGTACTAAGCTAAAATCACAACAGAGTAAAGATCTTAACATTAAAACAGAAACATTAAATCTGCTGGAAGATAGAGTAGGTAAAAATCTTGAAGACATTGGAGTGGGCAAAATCTTTATGATTAAAGCTCAGACTGCACAGGACTTATCACAAGGAATCAACAAATGGGGTCTCACCCTACTGAAAACCTTTTGACAAGCAAGAGAAACCACCAACAGAGTGAAAAGAAAACCCATAATGTAGGAGAAAATGTTTGCCAGCTGTTCCTCAGATAAAGAATTACTATTAAGAATGTATAAAAAACTCAAACCCCTCCTAGATTTAAAGACTCAATCCAAAAATAGGCACCTGAGATGAACACAAACTTCTCAGATGAAGAAGTACAAACTGCAAATAAATATGTGAAAAAAAATGTTCAACAGCACTGGTCACCTGAGAGGTGCAAATTGAAACAACACTGAGATTTCCCCTCACCCTAAAAAGAATGGCTAGTATTAAGAAATCAACCAATAACAAATGCTGGAGGGGCTATAGGAGAAAATAACCCTTCTCCACTGTTGGTGAGAATGCATACTGGTGCAACCACTGTGGAAATCAGTACGGAGATTCTTCAAAAAACTAGGATTAGAGATCCCATTTGACCTAGCTATTCCCCTTCTGGGTATCTTCCCAAAAGAATTAAAAATATCATACCACAGCGATATATGTGCACCCACATTTATAGCAGCACAGTTTATAATAGCCATATTTTGCAAACAACCTGAATGCCCATTGACTGAGGAATGGATAAAAAGATGTGGAATGCTGGAATACTGTTCAGCCATAAAGAATGATAAACTGAATATATTTATAGGGAAATAGATGGACCTTGAGAACATACTTATTAGTGAAATAAGACATGCATGTGTAAACATCATGTTGTTTCATTAGTGTGACAAGCTGAAAGAAAAACATGCACATGTGTATGTATATTTAAAGATAGTTTTACAAAAAAAAGCATAATGTCTTCCTTCGTCATCCACATGGCCTGTTCAGCAGCAAATTCAATGCTTCCCTTCACTGAATATCTCTATAGGTTCTGCTTTCCTTTCCTACACCTTGTCCCAATCTTTTTGTCCCAGAGAGAATGACCTCAGCCAAAGCAACAACTCAGATCATACCTGCCTTTACTGTAACACACTGTGAGCCATTTTGAGTTGACTTTTGGATGTCTTAAGAAATTTTTGATGTGCTATAAAGTTTGGGTTTTTTGTATGTGGATATCCAGTTGTTCCAGTGTATTTATTGAAGGTATAATCTTTTCTCCACTTAATTTTTTGTACCTTTTCCAGAAATCAATTGTCTGTTATGTGGGTATCTATTTTGGGAATTCATATTGGTACCTTGGTGGTTTGTCTATCTTGTCTATCAATGCCATTGTCATGATTGGTGTAACTTTGTGATAAGTCATGGGATTGGGAGGGTTGGAGCTCTGACTTTGTTCCTTTATCAAAGTTGTTTAGACTATTCTGAGTTTTTTGTATTTCTACAGAAATGTAAGAATCAAAATATTAATTTTTGTGAAAAATGATATTGGCATTTTGATAAGGTATTGTGTTTTCTGAACTTTATTATTTTTTTCTTTTTTGGTTTTATTCTGTCTTTTATTTCTAATTTCTTAAGGAAAGCTATGAGAATATTTCATAACTTTCTTCTTTTCTAATAAATGTACTCAGTGTTAAAAGTAAATAAAACAAAATTATGAAGTCTGATCTGGAATGTAGAGATTATCTCTCAAAAACATCCTTTGACTTCCACAGAAGTCCTCAGAAACATATGCCCAAAGAACCTTCACTTCAATAACTAAGCCCTCTTTGTTGCAAAGATTAACCCAGTTCTCTTCTCTTCTACAGCAAATATCTTGACAGTGATCATCCTCTCTCAGCTGGTGGCTAGAAGACAGAAGTCCTCCTACAACTATCTCTTGGCACTTGCTGCTGCTGACATCTTGGTCCTGTTTTTCATTGTGTTTGTGGACTTCCTACTGGAAGATTTCATCCTGAACGTGCAGATGCCTCCGGTTCCTGACAAGATCATAGAGGTGCTGGAGTTCTCATCCATCCACACCTCCATTTGGATTACGGTCCCCTTAACTATTGACAGGTATATTGCTGTCTGTCACCCTCTCAAATACCACACGGTCTCTTACCCAGCCCGTACCCGCAAGGTCATTGTCAGTGTTTACATCACCTGCTTCCTGACCAGCATACCCTACTACTGGTGGCCCAACATCTGGACTGAAGACTACATCAGCACCTCTCTGCATCATGTCCTGATCTGGGTCCACTGCTTCACAGTGTATCTGGTGCCCTGTTCCATCTTCTTCATCTTGAATTCCATCATTGTGTACAAGCTTAGGAGGAAGAGCAATTTTCGTCTCCGGGGCTACTCCACAGGCAAAACCACTGCCATATTGTTCACTATCACCTCCATTTTCGCCACCCTTTGGGCGCCCCGCATCATCATGATCCTCTATCACCTCTACGGGGCACCCATCCAGAACCGCTGGCTGGTGCACATTATGTCTGACATCGCCAACATGCTGGCCCTTCTGAACACAGCCATCAACTTCTTCCTCTACTGTTTCATCAGTAAGCGGTTCCGCACCATGGCTGCTGCCACACTCAAGGCCTTCTTCAAGTGCCAGAAGCAGCCTGTGCAGTTCTACACCAATCACAACTTTTCCATAACAAGTAGCCCCTGGATCTCGCCAGCAAACTCACACTGTATCAAGATGCTGGTGTACCAATATGACAAAAATGGAAAACCTATAAAGGTATCCCCGTGACCTCGTGTGTTGGGCACCTAGTGCCTCTGTGTTATTCATTTCCAGATGGGAGAGCATCCCATCCTGTGGCTGAATAGCTCTTCTTAAGAGTGCTCACCTCATTTCCTGTCTCCACAGATTGAGCAACTCTCAGACTGGTAGATGACAAAGAACGGAAGAGAAGAAAGGAAAGCATGAATCATGTTTTACTTGTGTATTCCTTTTCACAAAATCATGTTGACAGTAAAATTTCCTGCAGTTCAAAGATGCTATTGGAGGTCATAAGTGTCATCATCCTGTGACCAGTCAGAACACCCCATAGAAAAATAGTCTGTGACTTAGCACAGGACCATCCACAGTGACTGGGAACTTCTCATTTATGTGACACACCATGTCACAGTAGCACACAGCTGAAGCCACACTCTTCTTCCAAGAGCTGAGGTAATCTGTTGCTTCCCTGTGCCATTTCCAGCAACTAACAATGCTGACTTATCACAGATTTTTCCAAGGTGCCCTTTGTCCTAGTAGGAGTTGTGGCCTTGAGGTAGCCCTGGCACCCCTGGCTGCAGAATGAATGATGGGGAAAAGGGAGTATTGAATCTCACCCAAACTTTGGCCAGAGCTTCTGCCGGAAGGCACTGTACCAATATAAGTATGACCCTTAGGTCTAAAATGTGGTTTTCTATTTGCCATAATTGTGTAGATTTTAACTATTTCCTCCAAAACAAAGACCCTGTCTGGTGTACAGGGGGAAAAGGAGGAATTCTTGAGCCCAGAAAAACAAAAAAACAAGCCCACTCTTGCCATTGTTTCAACCCATCTGTGTCGGCAATTTTCAAAATCACTTCTGGTTGTGACACCACACAGCTTCCTAGAGAAGCCTTTTATGTGTAGACTCGCCAGCCTGGCCTCCTTGCTTGCTGAAGCCCTTTGTTTTATTTGAAGTGACTTCCTAACTTAACGTGATATTCAAGGGTCAGGAACACTAGCTCTCTGGGTATGAAAGGATGTATTCTCCATTCTTGCCCATAGTGCATAGCACTTCCCTGGAAATTTTCACTCATTTTGTATGCACATGTGCATATTTGATTCTCTGAGACTCCTGCTTGTGTCCAGTGATGTGTTTTGAAAGGAAAGTCCATGCTGGAGTTTCTCTTATTTTGCATTTTTAAAACTGCTCTCCCAGAATCTCAGTATTTAGACTCAATCCTGTATGGGAAGAAATTTTCCAATCTGATTTGGGGTTTGCATGTTATATTTAGTGGTCAAATAAAAAGTAGACAACCCCCCTGGAACACTTGTTTCCTTAAACTTGATTTTTAGTGCATTTTGTCCCTAAATTGGAAGGTATGGCCTTATTCTTTTTATGGGAGTTTGCAATAAATGCGTTGGGTAAAAAAGACCTCAGGGCAGCACATACCCTAAACTTCTGCCCATGCTAACTCAATATAATTCTGAGCCCTGTTAGTCCTGATGATCCTAAGTCCTATTTGTTTTAAATGAGTGCAGTAGAAGGTTAGATTCTAAAGTCAGTGCAAAAGAAAAACACTGGCAGAGCCAAAGTTATCTGTGCAAAGTCCTTAGTAAAAAGTCACATTGGAGACTTACTATAGATAACTAAATTTGTCTCCGACAGTGGAACAGGCTTCTGGTTCTTTTGCTGAAGACAAGACTCACTGGGCTCCTGTTTAAGGACAACATTGTATGATTCTAATATGGCTGAGAACATCAGGATCATCCTGGTATAGCAAGATGCTCCCACTAAATGAAGAGCACAGAAGTTGTTCAACTAAGGGCCAGAGATTCCCCCTTCCAGTCTAATTGCTCCCTAGTCCACATGCTTGTCGAGGGAAAGGACAAGCAGAGTCCTCTATACCCCTTAAACTGCATTTCCCTTGGTCTCTTATTTTGCCAAGCATGTGTAGTTGTATGTGTGCTCATTAACTGTGTGTATGGCGTGATTCCACCACACCCCCTTAAGAATGAACATTGACCAAAGGCTACCTACCTGAATATGTATACATATACTTATTTATTTATCTATCTATTTATTTATTTTTAAAACACATAGCTCCGAATAACACTAGTGTGAGCTATACATGAATGAGTTAGTGTGCAATATCTATCAAGGTTCAGCAATTCTTTTTTGAGGACATACATTATGAAGGAAAATAAGCCTGTGAATCTTAATGCTCTCTGTTTCATACTTTTGATTGTACATAAAATAAATGGTTGGCTTTTAAGAATTGGGTGTGCACTGGGAGTGTTTGCCTCAGACATTCATTTATTACTCCCCTTAACTGTAGTAGTTCTATCAAGTAGTGTCATGATCTCTTTTTCCTTCTGGCTCTATTTTGCTAAATGATATTTTAAAACTTCTGAATCTTGAAAGCACTCTGATAAGCTGCTGTCTTCTGTTGAAAATGCATATGAATGCCCATAGGGTTTAGCTGACATACATCTGTTAAAATTATTTTAAATCATCTAAGTATTTCTTAATTTATTTATTTATGAGAATAATCATGGACAATAATGAAAAGGGTTTTTTCCCTTTAAGACCTCTGGAAGCCTTTTCTTTCAGGCCAGTTTTGAAAACAAAGCCTTGAATTTTGAAGCCTGTCATGTTAAAAGCTGCTATGGAGAACATCCAAGCCGTTGCCTTCACCCAGGTTTTTGTGATGCCTGTTGCAAAGACTGTTAGTTAGCATCTCTCTTGCTGGATGCTTTGGTTGGATATTGCTATGATGCTACATGTGTACATGCTATGTCTTGTTACTAAACAACTCTAAGACAGAAACGTCTCATGGGGAAGGAAAAGAGGAGGATGACAGACAAATGATAAAGGACAGACCATGGGAAGGCATGAACTTCCATTTTGCAAACACCTGCACTGGGAAAGATTACTTTGCACAGTTGGTGCCCACTATTCCAGCAGGAGGAGCTCACCTAAAGTGAATAAAAGACTTTAATATTAGCTATTCCCACTCAAACGATGGAATATAAGGTCACCATAGAAAAACAGTAAATGTTCATATTTTCTTAATTAGATAATATATTGTGTTTGGACTTGTTTGTATTATAATAAATTCTAAAATGGTGCAAACTTGGTGTTTGGCATTGGATATATGTTAAAAAAATTGCAGAATGCTGACTTTCACTCATATTAATTATATATGGTATGGAACACAGCAGGATGTTTTGATATATGTATTTAATGTAGAGTGATTAAATCAAAATAATTAACGTTCTACACCTCACATATTTTAGTGATGACACATTGGAAATATATTTGCTTAGCTATTTTGAAATAAGCGGTATTATTGACTATTGTCATCTTACTGTGCAATAGATTTCAAATCTTATTCTTCTTATCCAACTGAAACTGTCCTGTTCCCTTGCTCCTATTTCCAGCAGTCCCTGATAGCTGTTACTCCCAACTGTTACTACTCAAACACTCAGACTTTTTCTTGGAAGGTAGAGCTTTTTTGATGGATTCCATCAGCTCTCAAACTTGCTATGCACATAAACCTCCATCAACTTTCCTAGATTCCACATACAAGTAAGATTATGTAATATTTGTCTTTCTGGACCTGGCTTATTTTCACTTACTATATTATTCTCTAAGTTACAGGGTGTGCATTAAAATTCATAAATGATCATCTTGTATATACATTGTGCTAGAATCCAGAATAAACCAGAGGTTCTACCCTGCCAGATATAGTTCAGAATCTAAGGCCACTGGACTCTACTTCCTACAATCATAAATGGGTATAAATCTGAATTATTTTCTCATCACATCCTCAGTATATCTTTGAGACAGTGATGGCTGTAATCAGAATTGGGAATTTAACTAACAGCTAAAAGCTTGGAGATTGATGTTAGTCACGTGTGAATGTTCAACCCCACTCTTTGTAAATTATATGGCCTTGAGTAAGTCCTTGAAGATCACTGATGAAGATATCTAGAAAATGGTGCAATTTTTAATTTTTTTCAGTTGCCTACAAGGCAAGTTAATGCTTTTCTGGTGGATGCCCAAGATTTGGAGTCAGTTATGACAAACTGCAGTTTTGTAGGCTGGGTGACCTTGAGTATTATTCTCGGTCTCTCTAAGTCTCAATTTCTTTTTTATTCATTTTCTTTTATTTAGAGAAAAAAGCAAAACAGAAAAAAGGGTAGAAGTATTAAAGAATTTCAAAAAAAGAACATCACTAGTTGACAAATTACGTATTGTCATCTCAGAAATTGTTCAAGTTACAAAATCAAAGTATAAAGAGTGGACAGACAACAGTGACAGTACAAACCATTTGTTTGATAAACTAACAAAAACTCAGTAATGTGGTTATCTATCTTACACACTTAAGCATACATATAGTTATATCCTTTAGAGCACTTTCCTTCCCTTTCACTATTACAATATCTATTATACACTCCTAAGTCTCAATTCTTCTTCATAAAATGGTACTAATCATAGTTCTAATAATGACTTCATGGCAGTGCTTTTGAGACAAACTTTCTAAAACCTGCAGTTGTATGTTATTTTACAAGTGAGGGCACTAGGCTTAAATTGGTAAATGGTTTTGTCCAGAATGGAGGCCAAGTCACTCAACATTTCATCCTTCCCATTCTACAACTTTGCCTTGTCTGCAAGATTCTGAGTCATCCTCCAAAAGATCAGACTATTTTATGCCCTTTTTCATGTTGAAACTATTGCATATTTTTGCAACTCTTCAAACCCAGGTCATCCAAGCATGAGATATATTATAACAGCATCATAATTAAAACACTCAGCTTGACCTTTTCCTGTAAGGTAAAACTTTTAAAATTGATTCTATTAGCTCTCAAACTTGCTATGCATTTTCCCACACAAACCACCATCAGTTCTGACAGCCACCCACAAACTATTGTCACCATCCATTTTCGCATCAGCTTGGAGAATGAAAGTGGCGTATAAGCTGAGGGTAAGTACATAAAAGCTACGAACTTACTGAAAGAGTCACAAAAAGAAGCTGTTAAGTATGGCAACAACATCCTCATTAATTTTACGTACCAACTCAGGGAGGCAGGATAAAAGTGAGTTAATTGAGGTTGAACTGTTAAATAACAATCCTTTTATAAATGCATTCAGCTAATGTGATGACCCAGACTCTTTGAAAGTGTGTGGCTAATCTAAGCACCTGCCAGACACAACAAGGGGAAGAAGAGACTCCTGTCTACTGGAGTAAATAGATGCTGTGAGTTTCCTGGATTTACACAGGGAATTTGTCACTGCCACACCAAAAGAAGAACAGAAGAACTCTCTAATTAAAAAAGTAGTGAATGGGACCACAATAAAGAGAGATATCTTCCTATGAACTTTCTGCCAGAGGCATTACCCTGTCTAAGGAGCCCTGTTATCTAGAGAATGACATTAACACAACATTTTTGTTCACTGGAGGTGAAGCAGGAGGAAGTGAAACTTTAATAGTGTGGACATGCTAAAGCCAAAGAAGAAATATTTATAAGGACGTCCATTAGCTCCACGATGGCTTTCAGCGGGAGTTCTTAGTATGTACTCCTCTGAAGCTATTTCTATATCAGAGTTTTAGAGGAAACCAAATCACTCTCATGTGGTTTCAATGAAGCTTTAATAAAGAGACTGTTAATTGTCTTTGTGCAAGAGTAAGGGCACCAACAAGAGTTGTTGGAGCCCTTAGGAACTACAAATAATGGATAATCTTACTTCTGACAGCCATTTAGAGCCATCAGAGGAGAAGGCTGCTGGGGTTCAGTGAGGACCATCCCGTGGGAGGAAGGGCCTTCCAGTAAGATGGCTCCATACATGATCAGACATATGTGCCAGAGACAAATGCATTGGAATAACCCAACTTCCATTTTACTTCCTGTGATGCTCCGTTGCTACCTTCTGCTGGCTAAATTCAGAGAGAAGTCAGGCAGGAAGAAAGTGAGGTGACGTAGTCCTTAGTGCCCAGATCTCAAGATACAAAACTGGGGAAGAAACCAATGACAAAATGAGACAGGAAGAAACTGCAGAATAACCAGCAAAGGTTACATCCTCATTTCACTATCACTGAATCATGATTTTGTGTATAAACTTGTAGAACTGATACTCTATTCTGGTAGATTCATGAATGGAATCAGAAGATGACTCTACTCAGAATAAGTCTTAGAAATTATTTCACTCAGTGTATCAAGAAAAAAATCTAAGTGCCGTGGTTACATAATCTAAATGTTAGTGGACGATCTCTCTTCATTCTCACAGTAACTTTTGAAGGAGAATACCATTGCCTCCATTTTTCAGGGGAGGAAACTGAGCTTCATGGGGACTAAATTCAGCTCACTCAAGATCATAGTGAGTAATTTATAAGTTGGTATTTAAGCTGTCTGGCTCTAAAAGCCACTCCAACAGGCCACCTTGACATGCATTTGTTGACATCTTGCACTCTCTTCTCCTGAATTAGCAGCTTGGTCCCAGCTTGGCCTTTGCATCTTTCAAGGTTGATATCCAGGCTAAAGTCATCATCTGATTCCATTCATGAGAAGTCATAAATTATCAGTCATGCTGTATGGTTCTATTTCATGACCCAATTTATGTGTTTCATGAAATCTGCCAGAATAGAGTATCAGTCCTACAAGTTTATACACAAAATAATGTGGACTTTACAAGTGGGAAAGGCACATAAAGATATATACATACATGTACGTATATATATATATGTATGTATATGTATATACATATATATATATATATAAGCTTTCATATATATCTTTCAATAGTATTTGCAATGTCATCGTTTTGCAAATGCCTTCATATAGTTTTACCTCTTGGCCTTTCTACAATTCACTGACCTTTTAAAACAATTGTTTGCCTGTCCAAGGTCCTGAAATCATTTGTCCATGATTTTGACTAAAAACAATATATTTTAAGAAATTTTTTTGTATGAAAGTACAGATTTTTACTTAGCACACATAAAAAGTGACTTGGTATAGTATTAGTTATTTTATGAAACTATTTCTGTTGTGATTTCTTACAGAATCAAGTTCCACCAGGGCCTTGTTTCTTTCATCATAGTACATAACATCTCAGACAAGATCTGCACCACTCAGGGGCTTGTAGGGAATGTAGAATTACAGGCTCCCAACTCAGTCTGATAAAACAGAGTTTTAACAAGATATCCAGGTCATTCATACACATATTAAATCTCAACTTTCATACACTTTAAACCAATGAATTTGAACATTTGAGCAACTTTGGGAAATCTCAATGCCCAGGATGAAACCCAGACATTAATATACTGTGAAGCTCCTCAGATGATTCCAGTCTTAATTCAAGACAGATAATTACTTAGTTTTTTAAAGGAAATGTTATATTGCTACCACAAATTTAAAGCCAGTATTATCCACTGTAAATAGATAGAAGTCATTAAAACAAATGACTGAAGCCTGCTAGTAATTCTCAATACATACTGTTCCTAAAACTGATATCCAGTCTCTTTTGTTAGACAAAAGTCAGATGTTAAAGACTTTCTCCTTAATTTAATCATAAAAACCAGTAGCAAATTAAAAAGGGAAACATTCACAATATTATTAAGTATTAAAAAGCCAAGACCTGCGTTATCTAAACTCTTTATCCTCTAAGTTAAAATAGTTGTGTTTTGGAAAACATTGGTCTATTAAACAGGGAGGCCTTCACAGTTTCTTATTTTAGTTATTCCTGCCTTAGCTGCCTTTTAGATTTACTTGAAGTTTTTTTTTTAATCCTAAGACCAAGTCCTATGTCTAGATGTATTAAATCAGATTCTCTAGAAATAGAACCAAGCCATCAGAATTTTTAAAAAACACATCCATATTAGCAATTCTAATACATAGCCAAGATTGAGAAACATTTGTCCTCTTACTAACATTTGATCAACTACAAGAACTTGAAAAGTACAATAAAGTTCTCCCAAATAATCCATCACTTGATCATTTCACCAATTTAGACACCAAAATTGGTTGAACTTTCATGGTTATATGTATTTCTCACTTTTGAAGCTTATGGGAGCTAAGAAATTACACCCACCTATTCCCCACTGCAAATACAAAAGAAGGAGCTT